ACGTCAGCAATTGTGTTCTAATAAATTCTATATTAACAACCTCGTGTCTGCTTATTGATGAAAAACATTGAATTATCTCTATTAATTGTCCTCACTTAGCAGGTCTGTTCAGTACGCGGCGCTTCTTTGACTGATACGAAGATCATTATGGTTTTTCAGACAAATAACCAGTTAGGAACTGCAAGCGTGGACAAACGCTTAAATAACTTAAGCCTACTTTGAATCATGTTATTTTTATTCACATGAGCGTACTGAAACCACATAAGACAGGGTTTATCTAAAAATATGGGGTAATGTGTTAAATTCACAAGCCTCTCATAGCGACGCCGTTATGTCATCTGTAGGCACGCTATGTAGCACAGGCCTAATTAGTTCAGGAACCGTTGCATAGGAGTAATCTAGAAAAGGAGCAAAACGTGGTGATAATAATTTGAAAGAATATGATGACCAGAAAGTTCGTCGTTTACGCGATACCTAAGTGGCCAATGCATCCATTCGTATGCACACAACAACAGCTTTATTATTACGATGAGTTGTTTTCAGTCGTTCCACTTTTGTATAACACAATATCGTAAATCATTTCCATCTTGTTTTCCAGCCATCTGAGTCGTATTACACCGCAACAACAATGAGCAAATCAGCTCTGATACTGTTGACATCATTGACAAGGGCTGTGACGACTTTAACCGATGGTGAGATGGAATTGTTGCTTGTGCATGCGGTGAGTGTTCTAAAGCGCCTTTTATTTTTAAAACGACTAGATAAACTACGATAATGTTGAGATATGAAGAAAACTTAGAACCTGACGTAGGCTTCGAGCCTGTGAGACTAACTGGAGTCGTATGCTATCCACCACGCCAACTAATGCCATTGCTTTGGGTTTCTCTCAGCTGTTTTCGCTCTATCGGTGTTATCAGCAATCGTCCATCAACGGCAGTGATCTGGGGAGCGAAAATCGGTGTTGGACGCAGAAAAGACGAAGCTGCATTCGGTTTCCTCGTGGTTGTATTTCATCCCGTTACCCTGCAATGGAAAAACAATAAGCAAGAAGGAAATAAACCTTAAGAGAAATAGTTCGCTTTTTTATTTCGCATTGTAAACAAGAGAGCGGAGCAGTTCGAAAAAGAAGTCCTTAAGAGAATGCCACAGTAAAATGACAGGTGTGGCGACACGGTGATCGTTCGCCACTAGAAATCTGTCCAACAGATCCAATTCGAGAAGATGATTGGGCACTTGGTGGAGAAGGATTCGGACAACTTACACCGGTAAGAGCATTCCGATAACGATGTCATTTTTGAAAAGATAATATGAATGAAAAGGCGAAAGTCTCGACGACTCTACTAGTGTTGCGTATTCCTTTTCCTTCACAACATTGTGGAGCTGATCGAATTCATATCTAACTTGTACAATCACTTGTGTGATCCTGTCGACCGATCAATTCAGTGTTTTTATTGTCTCAGGGAAGTCTGCAACCAGCAGACACAAAAGGTCGGTGGGCTTAGTTAGCCGAGTACACGTGATCGAATCAATCAATGACCATATGTGTATTTTGGGGCACAACTAACCGGTGCGCTAAATGCGCCTCATTTCTGTAATGGAGGAGAAAATTTATACCGGTGTAAGGAATCCATTTTAGAGTAAACGTATAGACCGTAGTTTTCAGCTGGGAATGGCACAGCATTTGAAATTTGGAAAGCTTCTTCGAAAACGATATGTTGAGACCGGCTTTTTAAGCAAGAAGTATTCATCTAAAGAGGTTTCTGAAATGTTTGCTTCGATGAACTATTGAGTTTTACGACAAAGAGTGTGGAAAAGTTCTTAAAGTGCCTTTAGATTTATATCCTATCGACAGATGTGAATAGGACGATTATTTCGGCGATGTCAAATATGCTGGGTATGTACGGTCAGCCCGATGGCTCCAGTCGGGCTGAAGTTGACTATCCGAATGAGACCGGATGGCCGGTCGGATATGTGCCAATCCCTGTACACACCATACATTTCAACACTAGCCACGTATGCCACTCATTTTGCATTTATTAATTTTTTAAAACTTTGTTCATAGGTTTGAAAACTTACGCATTTGATTACGAGTATTGGAAATTGTCTACAGAAATATGTCAAAACGTGACCCATAATACATCAGTTCTTTCATCCCACCAGGGCGTGTGTCAGAGCTTATAGCGAGTTCCGCGTTCACATCCTTAAGGCCACATCACAGAACTGAAACCTCTAAGTAGTTGCTGTTACTCTCCATGAACGTATTGATAATTGATTGGTTCTTCACTGGACGGATTCGGAATTAATGGTGAGAGGATTTAAAGTAATACTCACTTGCTCACTTGGATGCTTGGTTGACCTCTCATCACAGGTTGTGCGGGCCCCAGCATAATTTCTATTCCTTTCTCTCTCGTAAAATCACTGTCCATAGTAGTGGTTCACTTCAAACATGGCGACGTCCGCCAGGACCGTTCCATGATTGTGAAGTCGTTACATCTGCAAGTGCAGATGGTTGACGTTAGCCACGAACACGTTAGCCCACCGTTTAGATAGTCTTGCAAGAGGATGCTAGCATCTGCTGGAATCCGCACCACTTTTCTTTACGTCCGTCTGTCATCTGTTCTTTTTATTATGTGGCCGACCCACCTGTATTTCGCTATTGATGTATACTCGCCTGAATCTCGAAGATGGGGCATGCATTGACGATTTGAGCTGCGCATTCCGACTAGACATTGTGAGCGCCGATGAATTTCCAGGAGACATCATTTGAGCTCTCTCTGGGTGGCTCGCAGATTTCTTGACGTGAATGAAGTATCACCCTACGTTTCTGCTGCATAGCAGAGCGCTCAGAGGACAACTGAATTGAAAAGGTGAGCGCGGAGTTTCTGTCCACTAGTTGGTCTGTGTCTTCTTTGAGCGACCCGGATGAGAGTCATGCTGCTCACTTTCTTTGGTCTAACTCCTACTTTGTGTTGCTCTTCATGTTCACTGTAGGTCCAAAGTACGCATGTCAAGACGTCTCTATTGTCAAAAAACCACGCAGTTCGATCTGTTTGTTTTCACACCGTGCTTCATGAACAATGTCTTCGTCCTATTTATGCGCAATTCAGTCATTTTTTCCTCTCCGCTAAGTTCAAGTTCATTGCCCATCGTCCTGCTTCACTAGTACTCCTCGAAAAGATGAGGATGTCGTCGAGTGAACAAATGTTTGATAGGAACTCTCTATCTATACGTATGTCCTTTTCATACCAATCGAGTGACATCATTATCCACTGCAGCTCGGCTAAAAACATCGTTAACGATATTGCGTCGCCTCGTCGAACCTCATTTTCTATTGGGTAGGCTGAGAGGTCGATGGAAACCTGTATAACTGTGCCGCAATTGCGATTTCAGTATGCTAGTATTTGTACATAGGACGATTCCACTCCTTGGTCGACAAGCGCTTATAGGATTGCATTCTTCGTTTTGACGCTGTCAAACGCTTTCTCGTAGTCGACGTAGGCTACGACAAAGGATAGACGGTACTCCGCACTTTTCTGGCCAGTGGTACGGTTTGGATGTAGCCCATGAAGCAGAATCTCTGTTGGAATCTTGGCTGCTCAACTGAATGTACTTTATCCAAGGTCTTCGACATGCGCATAAGCATAATCTTGGCGAAGATCTTGTAGAGCATACGCAATTACCAAAACGGATGATAGCTACGAGATCCCGTCGGTTACCTTTATTGTAAGGAATGACCGTGCACATCGTCCTCCACTTGTCTAGGATTTTTTATTTCTGGAGCTAACATGTCATATGAGTAGGGAAAAGCACATCTAATTTGTGGCTGCCAGCTTAAAAGAACTCGGGGACCATACCATATTATCGGTTCTTACATCCGTGCGCCTTGTCGTGCTTTCTGTGGCAATTCGAACTTTAAAGAATCTCGGGTGGTTCTTTTCCAGTCTGGATATGGGTGACCATATCGAGAATTGTGAGATGAAAGAGATTGATATAAAACTTTTCTATTATCAATTCCATGTCGTAGTGGGATATCCTTAAAGCTCCATCTCTCCTCAGCACAGCGGTTGGTGGAGCACTATAGACACAAATCGCGATGGCGCTTCTTGAGACAAGGTTTTTTTGAGATATTTCAAATAAATGTCCTATGTCGACGTTAACTCTCATGCAAAGCTCTTTTACAGATGGCATTTATTGTCAGCGTTGTTAGGTGTGTTACAGTAGGATTAAGGATCGGTGTCGTTTTCTTTTCAAGGCAACTCAGTGACAATGGAAATGTGGTCTGAACATCCCGCTCGAGGAATTGAGACGAGTTGAGCACACTGCATGTCCTTCGACAAACAGGTTATAATCCTCTGTCAGGTTGTGTTTTATCAGTATGTCAAATGAGGGAAGGATTTAAATGCGAATATCCTCGTCATACATGACTTGTCTCTCTTTTCTTGGAGGATTACAGAAGTTTTTTTCCAGCTTATGGCTGAATCGAATCCTCGCATGAAGAAGGTGCTGATTAGAACCAGGACAGAATCTGGGTACTACTGAGGTGTCAAAGAGGAGCTATTTTCTGTTCATGAGAATATGATTGATCTCCAGATGAGTTGTCCTATTAGGAGACTATTATGTGCTTCGGCTATAGTAAAGTGGTACCATTGAAGATACATGCTGCAGACAGTAGTCCTACAAGACCGTTTCCATTCTTATTTCGTCCACCTATTATGAATTTCCCTATCCTCTTCGTTTTCGTTGGTCGCTCTTAATCTGGCACTGAAATGTTGTAATGCGAATTTATAGAACTTATTGTTGCGGATTACTTCTTCAAACTGAATGTGTGCAGTTTACTCTCTTCAGCTTTGCAAAGCGATGAGTAAGGCTGGCCGAGAGGACGTAAGGACGAGAGATGACCAAGGGCATTAATAGGGTTTCGTATGAGGTGACACGATGAAAAAACCGATGAGTGTTTTGAGCAGAGCCAGCGGCTCCGACATTTCGTAACGGCAATTTCTATTCAAGACAAGGGCTCCGCCATTTAGTTGGCGTATATCGACCTTTCTGCTTTTTGTCTCTTGTAGGGCGATCACAGGGAACTTTATACGTTTAGCGAAATCATGAAAAGGGTGAAGGTCGACGTCTGAATAGACCGTTTTGGCGTTAATAGTACAGTGCCCGAGGCAGGCTCCATGGCCTGCCATGGATGTGCTCGCGTTGTCCGTTCCCAGTGTAGTCCTGTGCAACCTGAGATTTGATAACTTCCCAATTGTTGTATCGTTATCCAACGTCTTAGACGGGAGCGCGAAGTCTACAGGGTAGCGAGGGTCGGAGATTTGCTAGTTTAACCAATGTGTTCCCTGGATCCCTAAGGTCGGGCTAGCCGAATCCTTCTCCAAGTCGTCGCCAAGCCAGACGGTCGCCACCCGTGTGGATCAGGGGAGGTTTGTCACTGTGCGACTAGTTTGATACCAGGACGGTGGTGAATCGAGGTTCTGCTCTGCTTTTATTTAGGCTTCCGGATGGAAGGTAATACAGACAGCAAATGCTTGAAATATATTTATTGATGTGATCTTATAAACTGATCTTCTTAAGCTGATGCTAGGTTGGTACAGGTCTTCGTTATCGTTGTCGTTATTTTTGATATTGTTGGTCGATGGCTGACGTTTCGGCGACTTCGCCTTCCTCAGAGCCGTGATGTTACGTGCGAGACAACACGGCTCTGAGGAAGGCGAAGTCGCCGAAACGTCAGCCATCGATCAATAACATCAAAAACAACGACGGCGACAACGAAGACCTGTACCAACCTCGCGTCAGCTTAAGAAGATCAGTTTATAAGATCACATAAATAAATATATCAACTATCTATGCCGAGGTTTGTAGAAAGTCGGTCTTTCGAGTTGTTTGAAAATATCTAATTGGGTGAGGCGTTTGCAAAACTTGGGACCGCAGTGTAAGTTACACGTGAAGTCGACAACTTCGAAATTCCTCGTTTTCTTTCTCAGAAATCGCGAGGTTGTTAAACAACATACCTTTGCTTTCATACAATAACACATACAGCAGCCGTAGCTAAGGAGAATCGCCTTCTTCAGAGCTTGGAAGGTTACACTAATACGCAACTTACTAGGTCAAACGCTTTAACAGCACAAAAAGAAAGATCATGACCTAAAAGATAATTGCAAGATTTACGGCTTCTCGAAAAACCCACCGCTTTCTTTTCACCTGTCTTCCACCGAGGAAGAACATCTGCTCAAAGTCGCATATGGTTGGCGAGTGCACCTCCCCTCATCAAAAATCGATGCGAACGTACAGGATCAGGTCGCGTATGACCTCCGGGCATTCGTCCCTGCTATTCATTGTAGGGTTTTTGGCATTGATCCAAAAAGCCTCTAGGAGTTTTCGCGCTGGTGTTTTAGACTCCTGTGTAGGGATATTAACTTTTACTTCAAAATCGTCTCCACTATGCTTTTGTATCTTATGCGTCCCTAGTGGGATACTTCGTCTTAGTTTTCGTTTGCCATCTAGGTGTTCTTTTATGCAGATACATAAAGGTCTGCCCATTTCGCCCGTATATTTATCTCCGCAATTACTACAAGAGATCAAGTATATCGTACCTGAACTCGTGCATTCACCGTCCTTGTCATAAGAGCCAATAACGCAATTTTGCGTTTCACATAGACGGCCATATAGGCGGTTACGAACTAACTGACGACGAAGAATATTCGGTGGTATTTCAATTATCGGTACCGATTTCTCTAGATCAATCAACGTTCAATTAAACGTATCAAGTAGCGGTTACATGACAAAGTGGTACCGAAAGCCGAGTAACAAGAACATCCTCGTTCCTTTCCTTTCTTCCCACCCTTCACACACAAAGAGGGCGCTTTTGAAAAACATGTTTCGAACAGCACCTCTGTGTGCACAAGTAGGGAACTAAAGGAAGAATCGCACAACTTGGTTTGGCAAATAGCCATCTCCAATGGCTATGAAATAGTAACCCCACGAGATAAGCTTAGAAGGAAAATGACGTCCCAAAACAAGCAGTTTGGTTGAAACAA